AGTGTGGCAGTTACGTAATGATATAATTTGGCAGTTGTGTAATGATGTAATTACCCTCCATTTTGTGATCTGATGTAGTCATCCCCCATATTGTGATCTGATGTGAACAGCCAATCAGCTGAAAAGGGAGCTTCCTTGTGGGTGTGGGCTGCATCCAATATACACGGATGTTCTGGCAAAGATCTCATGCTCTGGATCCTGCATCCAACTCGTCATCCTCTGACCTCTAGTTCTTGAAACATGAGGCAGCAGCCTTTCATCTGACCTGCAGATCTTGGGATTCACCAGCTCCTGCAAAACTGAGCCAGCAGCCTTCAACCTGACCTGCCAATTTTGGGTTCGTCAGTCCCTGCAACCACGTGAGTCAGGAGAAGCCTCCAGCTTAATGCCTGACCCACGGATTTGGGACTTGTCAACCTCCATAAGCTCGTAAGCCATTTCCTTCAGAAAAATTTCTCTTTGTATAAATATATGTATATATATAATGTGTATGTATATCTATATCTATATATCTATATCTATATATATTTATATATATATACACACTTCACTAGTTTTACTTCTCTAGAGAACCCAGCCTAAGACACCATCTTTCACCTTACATTCCTGCCACTTGATTATCAGAGATCTCGCGGTAGGGGATAGCTCCTACTTGCTTCTCTGAACAACCTGAATGTAAAACTGATGTCACTAGTACACAGTCCCCACTACAATTCTCTTCTAGTTATGCCAAGATTAGCACCGAAAAATCTAAAATAGCATATGATGTGACTTTCTATTTATAGAAGGACACATGGGATGCATTAACAACACCCTCACTAGATCCTTGGACGCTGAGGACAGACCCAACAGCCAAGTGCTGAAGGGACTGGGAAGCCCTGGTATTTATCTACTGGTAACTGTATCAGGGGACTCAGAAGGGAATTCAAGAACCTTCTTTTGATAGACCCTATAAGAGGCCAGATCTGCTGCTCCCAGAGCTAAAAATAGTTTGGTCTGGTTGGGAAAGCATCGGTAGTCCGAAGACATGGGGCTCTTGTTCTGCACTAACTGACTTAGGGTCCTTGGAAAGCCATTCAATGTTTTTGTTGTTGTTATCTGCCATCGAGTTGGCCCCTAAGTCATGGGGACCCCTTGTAGATCATACCCATGTGATCCAGAGGATTTTCATTGGCTGATTTTCAGAAGTAGATTGGCTGGCCTTATTTCCTAGTCTGTCTTAGTATCACAGCAAGTCTCCACTGATAGACTTGAAAATCAATTACCAATGGGACCATTGGAGCCCTGGTGGTACAGCAGTTAAGAGCTCGGCTGCTAAACAAAAGGTCAGCAGTTTGAATCCATGAGCTGCTCCTTGAAAACCCCATGGGGCAGTTCTACTCTGTCCTATAGAGTCTCTATGAGTCAGAATCGATTCCACAGCAACAGATTTTGGGACCATTGGCTGGGAACTGAACCCAGGTCTCTCACATGGAAGGCAAGAATTCTACTGCTGGATCACCACGGCAGCATTCAACCTCCTAGCCTTTCTGAATTTCAGTGTTCTCATCTGTGCAGTGGAAACGCTGGCAGCTGCACTCCTTCAATTCACTGTGGTAGCACAGGAGGGAGTCACAAAGAAGATAATGGACATGAAAGTACTTGGTGAAGGCCTCACTCAATCTCATGAAAGGGAGAAAAGGCAGGTTGCGATAAGAAAGAAGCCACGCTGGAGGTGCTCCCTAGTTGTACCTTTAGCAGGAATAAAATCCTCCCACTCTCAGGCCTTTGGTGGTCTGGGGTGGCCCTTTGGTGAGAAGGTAGTTTCCTTTGCTTTACTGCCTTCTAACATGCTGTAAAATAGTCAGCCATGTGCTCGCCTTGCTTGCCTGCCCTATTACCCTATGCTCTAGAACTGCCTCATTCATGGCTAATACAGGGAAGGTCCAAAAGCAGCCAGAAATGTGAATGGCTATTCTCAGCAAACGGTTGTTTTTCCTTCTTAAAAATAGCTATTCTGTTCTTCTTTAAGACTTTTAAAAAAGTGTAGTTAAATAGTATTTATTGAATGCTGACTATGCGTCAGGCTGTATTAATGTTTTATGTACATTATTTCATTTACTCTTCATAAAAACTCAGAGAAGGAAGCATCATTGTCCCCATTTTACAGATAAGGAAACTGACATTCAGAGAGACTAAGTGGTGTCTAAGAAATGCTTCCAGAACTACTGAATAACAGACCCAAGATTTGAACCCTTTTCTGTTTTATACAAAAACCCATGTTCCTGCACATTATGCTATTTCACCTCAAATAATAATAGTACCTACAGAGAGAAGATGAGGAGAAAGAGTCGGAAGCATATAGTTAATCAAAAATAAAAACTTCATAGGCCTTGGATTGCAATCCGAGAGACGTTTAGATGCAATGTGGCCAAATATAAATTCAGTCATATCCCCATTGCTCAGGTCTTCTCAAAGAACCTGATAGCTGCCTGGCAGGCAGGGAGAAGATGTCTCAGGTTAAATAAAAAGTGTGTGATTAATTGACAGCTGACATAACAGGATATAATCCTCCAAAACACAAATGCGGACAGTTTTTGTGTACTGAAGAGGTTTATATCTGAAGTCAGAATAACATATATATATATAAAACCGAAAAAAGACAAAACAACTCATTCCAACTCACAGGGGCCCTGTAGGACAGAGTAGAACTGCCCCATAGAGTTTCCAAGGAGCACCTGGTGGATTTGAACTGCCAACCTTTTGGTTAGCAGCTGTAGCACTTAACCACTGTGCCAACAGGGTTTCCTTATATAGATATAGATATATAACAGGTTTTAAGCTCTTTGAAAGGGAGAGTGGGTCATAAAAATCGAGCATCACCTTTTTCCTTTTCAGAGTCTGGCCATCTTGCCTCCAAACTTAAGCCTCTGAAAGAGCCAACCAAACCAAACAGATACATACTTTCGAGTTTTTCTACTTAATGTAGCAGGTTAACCAGTTTCTATGAAGAAGATGATCATAATTTAGCATAAATTACAATATTATTTTTCTATCTTAAAAACGAAGACATTAAAAATATTTTGGGATCTATGAGAACTCTTTTTGTATCTTCTGGCTTTTACACTTTTGTATCATGCCGTGTTAAAATCAAGGACTTTATCTAGACTCTAGTAATACTTTTACCACTTATCTAGAACAAAACCCATGCTCAGAAAATCTCTGAGATTGGATTTTCTCATCTGCCAAATATGTATAACAATACTTACCTCATAGAATTACCGTGAAGCTAAATTTAAATTAGATAATTTATGCAAAATTTTTGGCACATAGGAGGAACTCAAAAATGGCAGTACCCATCTCTCCTTCCTCTGAAGTCACTGCCTTTATTTTGTGAGTTGTGATGTGTATAGATACAAAAGATAGCTTTGGAATCATTAAGGCTGGGATTCAAACCTCAGCTCAACTTTCTACCAGCTGTATGACTTTGGGCAAATGTCCCAGTCTTCCTGAATTCTATTTCTTCTTCCATAAAAAATAAATAATATCTCTACTTTGCATGATTGCTATGAGGCTCACGAATAACATACGTAAAGTATCTGGTGAATGGTAAGTGCAAAATGAATGGTTGTTTTGTTTATCCTTAGATAAAATGACTTTTGTTCTATAAAATGGAGCTGTGGTTAGGTTTTATGAAAATACTTTGTTTCGTGATTGTCTGGGATTTCAAATTTTAGAAATTTAACTGGATGTCATTGTGTGGTTGTCTGATTTAATCATGTCTAAGCCAGGTTTGGGTAGTGTGGGCATGTTTAAGGCTCCGTTGTAAAACTAATGTAAAAAATCGGTACCTATCAGCTTCAGTGGCCACTGACCCATTAATGGGAGCACCCTTGGCATAATTGTAGCCCAACTTTGCCAAGAAGTCTTGGAAAGGTTACATGACTCAGACAGATGTAGTCCACATGAGATTACAGGCCAAGAGGAAGAGGTCGGGGCTGTGGGCAGTATATTTAACAGGCTTATACACTGCAAGCCTTGTTCCTGGTCCCTTACAAAGCACCTCTTTAGGAGGAAAACAAGATGTTCTTTGTAAATAAAAGTTCATGCATTTGAGTAATGAAGTCATTTTCCAGCGCTGCAGTGAAAGATAGTCTTCCTCCAAGGCTGCTGGGTGAGGACTGTCAAAAGGAAGAGGGGTGGCCAGCGAGTTTCTAGAGAAGATATTAGCACAGAGAGTGCAGCTGCCATCTCTAGAAAATGCAAAACCTCAAGAAAGTGGGCACCCTGCCCTTGTGCCATCTGAGATCATCTACCTCTGGCTTCCGCCTCTGGAATCCCTTTTCTACCCACTTTCGGGCACACTAGAAGGGGCCACATAAAGGATCTATATAAATATAGATAAGCCATCCCGCACCTTGACTACATAAATAAAAGATGTGAGGAAGCAATCACAAAAGCTGAATATTCATCTGGAACCCCTGGAGAGGCTCCAAAGTTAGAGGGGAGGGGAGGTCGAAGGGAAAGGCCTGACCTGGGTGTCTGAAAGGCCAGCTTGGAGGGGGAGGGCCTGGAGTGGAAGGTAAAAAGGGAGTGGTGAGAATGAGCGTAGGAAGGAAGCGAGTATCAGCGGGCGCAGAACTCCGTCCCGGCCAGGCGCGAGAAGGTGGCTGGGCGCTCAGGGGCTCTCCACCGTCCCATCTGCCTTTGACATCTGCTTAAACTCCATCCAGCTGTGTGTTCCTCAGCCAGAGCCTCTGGGGAGAAGAACTACAGAGAAGAGAGGGCGAAAGTGAGAGAAACAGAGGGAGAGAAAGAGGGAGGGGGATGAGAGAGAGACTCGCTTACTCTCAGTCTTTTTTTAATAAGGAGCTGGTTGGGCTGCTTTGAGTTGCCACATCTGGGAACTGCAGGCAGAGAGAAAGTAAAATAATCGTGGAACCGCTGCACCACGGAGGGGACCGAAGAGGACAAACCGTGCCTGAGCCTCTGAAAGAGCCCTGTTGGATGTAAGCAGAGAGATGGCTTTGCGCTCAGCCTGGTGCTCTGTGCTGCCTCTGTGGCTCCTCTGGGGCGCTGTCTGCTCCAGCGCGGCCGCGTCCGGGGAGGACAACGCTTTTCCTTTTGACATTGAAGGGAGCTCCGTGGTCGGCAGGCAAGACCCGCCTGAGACAAGCGAGTCCCGCGTGACTTTAGGACGGCTGCCGCCTGCTGCCGAGGTACAGTGTCCCTGCAATTGTCACCCTGCTGGGCACCTGCGCCCCGCGGGCTGTGCCACACTAGTCCCCTCTCTCTCTCCTCTCCTCTCTTTTTTTTTTCTTATCGTTTTTGAGTTTCACCTGGAGAAGGTCAGTTCAGAAACTTGAAATAAAGAGTTTTACTTTGAAAGTTGGATTTGGATGTTGGGAGTTGACAGTTGAGACTTGGTAACGTGACTGTTCCAACTGGCCAAAGTGCATGTGCCCTGCCTGCTCTGAGTCAATCTGCTAGGCTGTCACCTGGGACTGCAGTGGCACATCTGTGACTTTCTGCCACACGTCGACAAAGTGAGCGTGTCCCAGTAGAGTCATTTTGTCAAGCCATACCACTTAACGTGTGTGCCCTGCCACTGGCTCCCCTGTTCTCTGAGATATAGGAAGTGGTAACAATACCCTAGGACCTGCCCTTTTGTAACGAATACAACTAAGGTTCCCTGCAACAGGGGAGGATGAGTGAAGGGTGGTGGGTCATGAAAGAAGTTGTTAGGAAATGGCAGAGCAGATCCCTTAAATAGAAAGCAAGCTGTTATCCTCCAGAAAGGAGAAGCTGCAATTAAAATCAAGCCCCATCCCAAAAGTAAAAATGATCAGTATATGCTGTTGATATGTTTATTCAAAGAGCTGCTGTTTGATTACATTACAGCAAGTTTTATGCTGAAACCATAACTAACATGGAGAACTCTAGGGAAGGAGGATGGATCCAAAGTAAGCGATTTAAGAGTCCTGTGAGCCGAGATAGACAACAGCAAGTCCAATGTGTGGGAGATGCTAAGTAGGAGGAAAATGAAGTCACCTAAGTTCATGGGAAAGGAAAAAGCAATTACCTGACAACACAGGCACACACACATACACACACACACACCCTATAGCTGTGGTTACAGCAGTCATCCAACCAAAACAGACATGTAGATTGACCCCCGTTCCTAACAGCACTGAAGTTTAGATTATTGCTACTAATTGTTAGTATAACTGGAGTTATTAATTACTACCAATAAAAATAAGGTGCATGAAGATGGTCCTTATCTAGGAGGGAATACTTCCCAGGCCAAAAAAAAAAAAAAAAGAATAGCATAGGGCCTGGGCACACAATCTCCCACTGTAGCGCAAAAAGTAATCTCTTTGAGTAAGAGGGGTATGGCTTCTGGTCAACTTCATACCCAGACAATGGGGAGAAGCTGGACCAGGAGAGACTCCATGCAAGGGCATCACTTCTCCACAGGTTTGGAGTTAACCCCCAGGATGCATTATCTCCACCTGTTGCTTCACGCATGGAAAGTCCCTGAATGAAATACTTGACTTCAGAGTAGGGTTGCCAGATAAAATACAGGATGCCCAATTACATTTACATATCAAGCACAGAACAAATAAATTTTTAGTGTAAGTAAGTCCCAAATATTGAATGAGACATATTTATGCTAAAAAGGTATTAATTATTCATCTGAAACTCAAATTTATCTGGGCATCCTGTATTTTTATCTGCTATATCTGGTTACCTTATTTAAGAGACAAGCACACATCTCTGTTTTTTGAAACTCTTATCCCACAAAAATTAAGTAAATAATTATTTGATTTTTAGGAATCCTTAAGTTTAACATCAAGACCTTGAGCAAATTTCTCATATACTCATGTGTCCAGTGAAATAATAGAAAAATGGCACAGCAGAGTATTTTAGACTGTAGTCTTTGCATTCTGATGATTTCAAGATCAAATTTCAACTTACCAGCTCCTTGGCCTTGGGCAAGTTATAGATGCCTAAACTGCAGATAAAGAAAACCGATGCATAAGTTATTGTGCTTAAGTTAGATAAAATACATACAGTGTTTAGCACAGTGCCTGATATAGTATAAATGCTTTATACATACTAGCTCTTGTTATTATTATAAAATATGTTGATGATGGGATTAAAAAAAAACCTCTTATTTGGGGGTATTTCTTAGAACTTTATTTTTATGGTGCTATTTTAGTTAATATTGCTATATTTCTGTTTGTTTGATTTCCTTTCAACCAGCAAGAATGCCCTATGGTTAGTGAAATTCATAATACTCTCTCCGAGCCTAATACGCTCAGAATGCCAGTTCAAGCCTTTGGTTTAGGGAAACAGAAAGAAGCTATTAGTCATTCCAAGAGGGTCAAAGTATAGGGTGTAGAAAGGGTGGGATTGGGGCAATTATGTTCCCACTGCATAGTTTCACAGAATGCTTCCAGTTAGCCTGCGGTCCCACAGAGCTCCCAGCTCCCCACCATCAGGTTTCCCATGCTCTTTATAACCAGTAAGCAGACCTTAAACCAAATACATTCCAGGGATTTAATAACATGGTATGACCACTCTACTGAATTGGTTCAGGAGATTGTATTTACATATGTATTTATAGAGAGAGGGCGAGAGAAAGAACACAGACACATAGAGTACATTATTCATGGGAGAGGTTTGAGATATGGATGGGAGGATAGTCTAAAAATACATTGACTTTATTTGAATTGGATTTATATGAATGGTTGTTCCTCAGTTCTCCTAGGATTTTATTTCTGTAAGAACTTCAAAGGGAAGGAAGAAAAATACTAAGGCAGGCATGGAGTAGTGGGAGGCACTTGGCTGAAGGCCTTCCTAAGGCTCTCCCAAGCTCCTCGATGGCCTCGGGCAAGTTATAGATGACGGGCCTGTGTCCCCTCCACCCTGGTTCTTCAGCCCACATGGGGATTTGGCATACTATGGTGCTCAGCCTGAGTTAGGGGAAGGATACACGAAATATGTGCAGAATAGGAGGATGGAGAGCGCTGGCTGACCAAGCAGGAAGGCCCTTCCTCTGCTTCTAAAACAAGCCCCAGTTTCCCTCAGGATGCAAAGAATGTGAAAAGATGACCACCCGTGGTTAACTGTGGGGTTTCTGTGGAGGATTTTCCCACCTTGTACTTTTTGACAAGCGATTTACTGATCGCATTATTGCTGAGTTTAAGGTCACAGCAGTGATTCTCAGTAGGTAGTAGTGGGCAGAGGGGAGACTGGTTAGTTTCAAAAAGTATATTTAACATTCTAGTGCTGCACAGTTAAGAAAAGAAAGTTTATTCATTTCATTGTACACACTATCCAGAGTAAAGCTAGGCAGAAGTCTTCTTGATCAGCATAGATATGCCAAAAAAAAACACTGGAGGGAGTACAGGAATGGAGATGGGAACACCACCCAAGGAAAGGGTGTCAGAGAGTCCTTTGGAAAAGTGAGATTCTTGTCTATCATGCAAACAAAAAAAATACAGAAGTTAAACAAGGTCAAGAAGCACTGCATTAGAGGTTGACCTAGGTGTCTGGGAAAAGCCATATAGGAAGTCCTACAGAGACTTCAGAGACGGATACAGGACTGCAATGGAAAGGATGAATTAGGAGGGGATAGAGGGGACCAATGGTGGTAATACTGGCTTTGATAGATAATTGAGAAATCAAGGCAAATAACTGACAAAATTGAGCAAACTCCCATGAGACAGTAAAACAGGAATTTATTTTCTAATCAGCTTACTGGGTTTTGCTGATGTTATTATTGCTGTTGTTAATTTCCCTCCAAGAAAGCCAGTGCCCCATGAGCCAGTATGTGACAAACATACCCCACACTGGACAAACTTAGTTGCTAAAAAGGCACTATTTACTGGACGATTTCTGAAGGACTTTTCCTCTAGACTCTTCCTCGTTGATATGTGATCCCATACCCCAATACATAGTTAGGCTCCCTGCCATTAAAGGATTGCATAATGTTTATTAAAAGATGTTTTAGATATTTTTCATTCTCTTGTTTCCATTTTCTTATCTTGGTCCCTTACTTTGAAAAAGGCCCTAAGGACCTCATTAAGCTCTCCAGTCACTGGCCCTGGCCACCATCCCATACTGCTGTTCCAACTACGCAATGGTAATTCAAACCCCTGCATGCAGTCATCATACCACTCATATACTTATTCATCCAACAGGCAGCTTTGGAGCCTTACCATATACAGAGCAATAAAATAGGCACCAGGAGGGGTAGAAAGAAGGTAGATTCACAACCCTATCCTCAAGTAATATGAAATCTAAGAGAAAAAAGATATACACAGCCACTATATAAAGCAGAATGAATTCATATTTTTTCTAAGAATGGCTACTAGTGAAGTACCATGTAGGTGATGTGGAAGAAGTATTACTCCTAGGTCTAATCACCTACTCACCAAACACCAAAGAAGGTTTTTAATGAAAACGTTATTTTAGAAACACTGAAATATAGGAGTAGCAGTAGTAGTAATAGTAGCATAGCTTATAACTAACACATTATTGAGTACTTACCATATGCCAGGCACTGGTCTAAGCAATTTCCATGAGTTACTTTATCTGTCATGACAACTCAGTGGGACTGGTACAGTTACTATCTCAGTTTACAAACATGGAAACTGAGGCACAGTGAGTTTACCCAGGCTCCCTAGCTGGTAAATAGGACAGCTGGGCAGGCATTTTTGCAAAGTGGTTCAACTGTACATGAGTATCTAAGAAAAGGTGGTTAAATAAATAAAAGTATCTGTAGGGATAATTTTGGGAATTTCCTAAAATGAAGAAATATAACATTAATACAAAGAGCATTGTTCAGGACTTGCTGGATGAGCAGGATAAATTGCATAAAATCTTAAGGTTACCAAAGAATTGAAAAAATCATTTTCATTCCCCATCCAATCTAATAACTACTTTTTAAACTACTATATAAGAAAGAAAACAATTGACATTTGTTGCCCTCTACTATGTCCTATGAGCTCTGCACATATTCTGTTATTTAATCTCAATGGTTAAAATTATACCTGTTGTACAGATGAGCAAATTGATGTAAGAAGATAAGTACCTTGCCCAAGGTTTCCAAATTCCATTCTCTTTTCCCTGTGTACCACTGGGTCTCCCTGATAGACACTTTTTTTTTTTTTTTTTTTTGCTGTAGAGTTTTCTTGTATCCTATTTTCTC